TAAGCGAAACTTGCTGAAGACTTTGCCATTCTCAATGGAGTCAGATCAAAATCTAATGCTATTTTCTCCACTCACATAATTACCTTCGTATGTTGACAAGTTTTCGTTGAGTGAGTTTTCTTCTTAGCTTGTTTTCATTTTCTCCAGATTCTCTAGATTCTCTAGATTCTTCCACTACTTTTTGCAAACATTTCGCACTGTTCTTCTCTTTCTGTCCCCATTTCCTGATTTTTCTATATCCTTTCATTCTATGTGTTTCAATATTGCTATTTCTCCCACCCCTTCTCTCTTTTTATTTCCCTCTCTCTCGCCTTCGCTGTCTCTCGCTATAGCTCTGTCTCTTTCTCTCTCTGCCTATCTCTGTCTTCCTATCTATCTTTCTATTTTTCTTTCTCTCTCTCTTTCGGTATCTCAATCACCCTCTCTCTCTCCGTCGCCCAATTCTTCTTTCTCCTTCTCAGTCACCCTTTCTCTATCTTTCTCATTCTCTTTCTTTTATTATCTCTATAGCATCTCTACATGACTTTCTCTTTCGCTCTCTCCTTCTTTCTTTCCCTGACTCAGCTGATTTTTTCTCTCTCTCTTTCTTTCTCTTTCCTTTACTTTATTTCCAATTTTTTCTACTTTCTCTTCTTTGTTCCACTCTTATTACCATTGCCTTCTTATACATGTATGTATCTGTTTCTCTCTCTCTCTCTCTTCCTAGCTCTTTAGGTACTTCTCCTATACCTACAACTTCGCATCTTTCTCTGCTATTCTCGAACTTTCGCTTTCGATTTCCTTCTCTCTGGCATGAATATGACCCAATTCTGTTATACAGCTTCGCTATTTTATGCATGATTATAACAGTCGCCACGAAACTGTTATAACTGTTATACACTGCTCTAATATGACAGCTCTTTTAGCTGTAACACATATCCGATATGACCAAAAAGTTGAATCTCACGCATTTCGCTCTGACCGCATCGCTTTCTCTCCCTTCACACACACACACACACACACACACACACATAATGTGTATATGTGTAGGGCGTCTGTCCGTTTGGCTCTTTGGCGGCGTACATGTCTATGTACATGCAATACATCACCTTTAATGGGCATTTTGTGTTAGCAGGCATTTAGCCCTAAATGCTTTGGCAACGTTACAAACAATTGAATTAAGACTGGGCCGCTGCACAATTGTGGGCAGAGCGGCGCCGCTCGCCGAGCGCGCCACCAACCATTGCTACTTTGCAATTTTGTAGCCATTTAAGGACCAGAGCCAGAACGAGAACGAGGTCCACAGTCACAGTCCACAGTCAGCCAGCCCAGCCCGTGTGCCTCTGGCTCTAGCTCTGGCCCAAGCCCATTTGTTAGTTGTGGCCTAATGTATGTGTGCGTCCGTCTCTTTCTATGCTTATCTATTTATCTCCCTGCTGCTGCTGCTGCTGCTGCTGTTGCCGTTGCTGCTGCTCTTTATGTATTGGCCAACTATATTTAGCGTTCATATACACACTCATGCATGTGTGTGTGTGTGTGTGTGTGTGTGTGCGCTTTGAATGGCTCGTTGGCGACTAAACTACTTTTTGCCTGTTCAGTGAGTTTCAATGGCCGCGCGGCATTTAATTATAAACATATCACACACACACACACACACACATTAATATTAACATCTATATATGCATATTAGACAAAAAACAACAACAACAGAGGTCTATGTTTTTATAAGCCAATTGGATCAACATGATGGCCCCAACTGAGCGAACTGCGAGCACCAACAATTTTTATTAGCAATTCGAGTCGAGCACCAATTACAGCGCACAAACACAGGCACATTTCAAAACAAACGGCTATTTATATAGTATATGCATATATATGCATATGTATATATATAAATGAAACAAATTGATAGACCTGCTCTCTTCCCGCTCTTCCCATTCATCAACTCACACTCGAGCTGTGCATATTATCGAGATGCATTTGGCTGCACAGCTCGAATCAAATAAGGCAAACCAAAAGGCATTAGGCAACAATTTCCCCTATTTAGAGCTCTTCAACTTGAAGAGAGAGCGAGCGAGAGAGAGAGAGAGACAGAGAGTTTGCTCTACAGTCATTAAATAATATGGAGTTCTCGGTATAACTTAACTCTCTTTACTTAATTGATTACAATCTGGCCTCGAGAGCGCACTCAAAACTTTGATGGTATAATTGTGATCAAGTCTCAAATTACAGAAAATGCAAATGTTAAATGTTAGACAAGTTATTATGTATGGCAGAGTGTAGCATAGAGTTTATAGAGATTATTTGATCAATGTGGACCACTGAGCTGATTGAACGTTGTCTATTAGGTAGTCTGTCTGCCTGTCTGTTTAATGCATAGATGTATAGAGGAAGAAACAGTCGTAGACCGAGACGCGACATAAAAATAATATATTTTGTATTAAAAATTAGATTGAATGCAAACGTAAGACTAGTCTAAGAATTAAGCAGTTGCTACTTGGGCCTGTGGCTTATGTATTCTCCCTTAAGCATATAAGAAAGAGTCCAAAATGGAGGCTTCATTAGGCAAACCAAAATTCCATTTTGTTGCAATTCACCTCAGTTTGCTGCAATTCCCTAACTCAACTTGGGTTCTATTGAAGCTGTATAGCTAACAAGTCTTAGGGGTTGCAATCACTCATCTTGATTCGGATCTATTAAAAGTATATAAAATATGGTATGCCGACTCTTGACCTACAAATATATCAAATATCTCGTCAGCTTTTGCTTTGTTAAGCACATCCTAAATTTATTTAGGCCCTCAAGGCCAGTGCGACCGAGTTGTGATCTAGAAATAAACCAAATTTCCCCTTCAACTTTACTGCAGCTACAGCTGAGTCTTACTCAAAGTACTGAATAATAATAATAATAAATTTAATTTACATTAATTTAAGCTCTCATTAAGTTGTTTAGGAGATAAAAGAGCCAAAAGCGCTTTTGCCATTGTGAATGCTCAGCCATTCCATGTTTATGCACATTCCAAAATATAATTCTCAAACTCCATTCCAGTTAAATAATGTAATAAATATCAAGCATAACAAGTTTAGCTATCGAAGGAAAGCCATAGAGTCGATAAATGAGCTAAAGAGCGATTACTGCGCTCTTGCAGCAGTGGCATATCGATATGCCTCGCACCGTTATGCAACACTGCTCATCAAAGCAGCTCTGCAAAACTCTTAAGCAGTTCTAACAGATAAGTCTACAAGGCAAAGCTCAACCATTCAATCAATCAATCAACCAATCAATCTCTAATACGTTCAAACTTTCGCTGCTCTCATTGCAGATGCTGTTCAAGAAGGTAATCATGCGCTCGACCGTGCTCTCCTGGGTCATCTTCGTGCTGTGCTTCATGGAGCATAAGCTGCAGATGAACGGAACGTCCTTGCCGATCGCCATATTGGGCGTCTTGGCAAGCGTGACGGTGCTCCATCTGCTGGTGCAGCATTATGGGCTGCTGCCCGAGATCCGCTGGCGAGATATGTGGCAGCTGATGTCGTTCAAGGTGATGCTGTGGATTCTCGTACAGCTGCTGGGCACGGTCGCGCTCTCGGTCCTCTGGACCCATCTGCTGGATGATGCCGACATTGGCAGCTGCCTAGATGTTTTCAAAAGCCGCCTGATGCTCGGCTGGACGCTGGCTGGCTATGTGATCTACGTGAGGAGCTGCCAATTGGCGGCGGCCATTGTGGCGCCCGAAAACGAAATGGACTTTCTGGCCGCCTGCTTCCAGTTCCTGAAAATTTAAACAACAGCCACAGCTGGAGCAACAATGGCAATGCCACAGGCAGCTGGAGTCGACCTCTGATGGCCTGAGCATCACCTTGGCCTTGGCCTGGGTCTCTACAGGGGGTGTGCTTGTCTATGCATGCATGCATGCATGTATGCATGTATGCATGTGTGTGTGCGTGTTGCCATTAAAGCGAGTAAATTGCATTTGGAAACATAAATCGCATCTAAATTCAATTAGCTGCATTAGCTGCCAGGACTCTGTCAGCTTTCAGCTGGACTGGACACTGTGTGGAAGTGGGCGGGGATGGGGGCTCGTTGTTGGCGGGGGCGTGGCCAGTCGATGCACTTGCCACATTTGTAAGCTCATTTGCCGCACAATCTCATTAACTGAGGCCAAGCGTGGCACAGCAGCAGCAGCAGCAGAGCAGCAGCAGAGCAGAGCAGCAGCAGAGCAGAGCAGCAGCAGAGCAGAGCAGCAGCAGAGCAGAGCAGAGGGAGCGCGCCCTCCATCATATCGTTAATTAGGAAGCTTTTGTAATTGAATACTCGGAACTGAACTCAACTGAGCATAAATCTAATAAGCCGTCTATTAACTATCAGCAGCCATCGAGCGAGCCAGCCGAGTGAACGATTTAAGATTTAATGTGGGCAGGAATTAAATTTGAATATCGAAAGGAGGCTGAACTAGCCACAGATCGAGCCGAAAGCTAACATGAAAATATTTGTGAAAATACTAGAAAATACTATAAAATTGAAGCTGCCTTTACTTGCATGGCCCAATTGACTTTTGGCTGCTTAACAAATTGCATTCATTAATCAGACCGAATCGAGTATCGAAACTGTGTCAAATGCGCATTAGTAAGGCAATAGATGATGGCTTGGCCCGACCTGGCCATGCATTGATTCAATGAATAACTCATGTATTCAACATATATGCATACATATATACATTTTGTATTATATACAATGCAAATGGTGAATAAATATTTGATAGATGCGTGCGGGGGGTGGAGTCGGAGGCAAATTGTTTACAAAATGGCCCCAAAAATCAATGCGTGTTCAATGCAAATGAGCGCAGAGGCAACAACAACAACAACAACAACAACAACAATAGTTTGCGCCCTGCTCGGTTGAGGCTACGAGCATGTAATTCGGCTCATTACAAAAACCAAAAAACAAACAAGAGTCCACACACACACACACACACACACATATATATAGGCTGACTGACGCACACGCACAACAAGAATAACAACTAAATTGTGACTGTGCAAACAATTAGAAAGCAGCAAACGATTTTTGGTTGCCTGACATCAATGCGACTAAGCAAACAGCTGCGGCCCGCCTCTTGCTGCCACGCCCCTCATCGTGCACGCCGTGCGCCATTTAGCTGATGTCCAGGGACACGTAACCACATGTTGGGCTGGCGGTGCCCACTCCCACTCCCACCCCCACTCCCCCTCTCTCTCACACTCCCTGTGTGTGTAAAACAGCTGCAAATTAATTAATTTCCATTTGAATGGAAAACAGCGAAATAAAAACCAAAATAAGGCATACATAAAGAAAAAAATCAACAAACAGCAGACAGAGAGAGAGAGAGAGAGAGAGAGATAGGCATTTAAATATGCATATACATAAATGCATTTGTGCTGCTGCACTTTGGCGCTGCTGCGGCGCACCCAAAAAGCGCAGCCAGTCGAACAATTCGCCAAAAGCAACAACAACAACAACAACAACAACAACAAGCAAACAAATAAACAAGCACAAAGGACAACAGGTTTACGTCCCTTTTTTATGCATTTTTATTTTAATTAATTTCTTTCTGCCACGACCAACATCAAAATTTTGAGCGACTGCCGGCGAGCGAGAAAAAAGATGAGTGAGTGAGAAAAAAAGTGTAGCATACTTTTGTGCGGCTTGATTTATTTCGCGCAAAAAGGATTGACTCGACCGTTTGAATGGGCGTATGTGTGTGCCACAGCCGCAGTGGCCTTGTGTGTGTATGTGTGTGTGTGTGTGTGGCTGACTTTGTAAATTAAGTGAGCGTAAACTTTGCGCTATTTGCGTTTGTCTGTTCGTTTGGGTTCCAGCGCTTCTGCTGCTGTCGCGCGCACCGCAACAAAATGGCCAAATTAAAAAGCAGGCAAATGTTTAATAAAGGCACACACACACGTACACACCATCACACACATACTACTGCAAATGCAATTTGACTTTTTACACAACGGCCGCTTGACATTAATGGTCAGCTCAACAGAGCTCGAATGGGCTCAGCCCATTAAGAGAGGTTTATAATCAAATTATGCATAGGTACATTAGAAATGAGTAGAGGCGAAGAACAAGAGGACAAGGGGGAGCTAAGAGAAAGGCAAAGAGAGAGCGCTTAGATTCAGTCGGTTCCCCTCCCCTCCCCCCCTCGTACTCTCACTCTCACTCTCTCTCACTCTGTCCAGCTCGACTATGCAAATTCAGCTCTTTCACTTTTTGTTGCGCATCAAAGTGAAACAAATTGAAACTAACTGTATATTTGATTGATTTATCAATCGCTCGCAGCTCTTGCACGTTTCCAAGCACCACAATTATGAGCTTCACAATTCTAAATATGTTTCAATTAAATATCAACTCAGTCGAGCAGCTGCAGCAGCGGTACGCCGCCGAGCGCCCTCATACATATTTATTGGCAGACTACTGAATTCGTTAGTGTTGCCTCTTGCTCCTGCTCCTGCTGCTCCTGCTGCCCCTGCTGAAAGCAAAGTAAAGCAAACAAAGGATGCACGAATGGAAAATGGCGCAATAGCAGACGGGATTAGGAAAGAGATGGAAGAGCGACAGGCGAGGGAGGAACTCGGATTGGAACTGGAGAGGGCGCTGGAGCTGTTGCTGTTGTTGGGGCTTCAGTTGAAAGCAACAGCTCAGCATTGTCTAATGGCTGGGATTTGTGTGTTGTTGTTGTTGTTGTTGTTGTTGTTGTTGTTGTTGTTGTTGCTCTTGTGCTTACGCGTGCTGCAGCCTTATCAGCAACCGATGACGACAATAACTTGAGCTCACACTCTGCCATATTTGTGATGGAATTAAATTCAATTTGGTATTTGCCAACTTTCTATTTGATTTGATTATCATCGTTCAATATTGCTTTTTCTAATTTGTCGCACAGCAGTCAACAAATTTCATTTATATTTGCAAGAGCAAACGCAGCTATGACTGGCTGCATTCCTGGCGCCCTGTGGCCCACATCGAATACCTTTTCGATTGCCGTCGATAGAGCACAGATTTTGTGGCTCAAGGCTCAAATGAGAGCAGATGTCCTGCTGCGCTGCAGTTGCACTGCGAAAGCAATGCCTGAGCCAATATTAAAGTATATTCTCTCTCCCCCACCCTCTCACACACTCCCCGTATCTTGATATTTGATTTGGCCAAATATTTGTCACAGAAAATATGCTTTGCTGTGCGCTTTGCTATTTTTCAATTGAGCTTGCTTTGCTTCTAATTGTCTGCTTCGTAGCGCTGATGTAATTATGGGAATATTGCAATTTATTACAATTAGCGCTGGGCGTGACGGGGGCGGTTGTCATTGGCAACATGTTCGCATAAATTAAGCACAATACAACAAAATATTAACATAATTATAAAATATGGCCAGCGTGGAGCTGAAAGAAAACACGCTTCATATTCGAGCGTAAATTACAGACAGGCGAAAATGAAATGCAAATGCAAAGCCAATAAAATATTTTATGTTGCCACAAAAACCCATATATGTGTAGGTGTGCGTGTGTGTGTGTGTGTGTGTGTGTGCTTGTGTGTGCGTATGTAATATGATTTACGTTGTGGCAAAATGAAGGCAACAGCGACAGCGACAGCAACTGCGACAGCAGCTGGCCGCAACAAATTTGCGTGTCGTAATCAAATGCGACAGTTTTGACAGGCCGCAAGGCTCATTAGACGCATTCAGCAAGTGTTCAGGTCGAGCAGAAAACATGTCATATTCTGGCAACAGCCTGAAACTGAATGCTGCGGTCTGCCAGCAAAGACATTGGCTAGATCCAGAGAGCCGAAGAGTAGGAGAGCCGGAGAGCAGGAGAGCAGGAGTCTCATCTGGTGCTGCTATCAGTGCAGCTGGCGAATTGTAAATGAATTAGTTAATCAAAGCAATTTGCAATTTGCAATTTGCAATTTGCAATCAGCATTTATTGAGCAGCTCTATATGTGCTTGAGTGCACTCGACGCCCTTTGATGCCATTTCACTTAACACTCTTGCCGGTGTCAATCAGCAGAAGCTTTGTTCCGCCGCTGCATTGACGATAGATGGTGGCAGTAAGCAGCAAGCAGCAAGCAGCAGCAGCAGCAGCAGCAGCAGCTGGAGCAGGAGCAGGAGGAGAAAAAGCGCTACATTAGCCGGCAGCTAGGGGAATTTAATTAAAAAAGCCAAAGGCAAGCCAATTTATGAGGGCGTCCCTGGCGTATGCGCGATGTGTGCTCACATGGCCTGAGTGAGCGAGTGGTGAGCGCAGGGGGAGTCGAGCTGAAAGCGGAAGAGACTTATGCGTATGCAGAGAGCAGAGCAGAGAGCAGAGCGCAAAAAGCAAAATGCGAAAATTAATGGAAAATTAATTAAGTGTCGTTTAATGTTGTCTCAATATAAACGCTTTCAACGCAGCGCAAATTAAATTGTTGTTGCTCGCACACGCTCGCTGGGCGTTGGGGCTGCACCCTCAGCCGTGCGCCTACAGAGTGCTGGTGCCTCTTTTGATTTATTGCCTTTCATGTAGCTGCTGCATTTTGAGTGAAAAGCCTGGGTAAATGCTGACGGCAGGAGCAGGAGCAGTGGCAGTGGCAGGGGGAGCGGGAGGGCTTCGGCTAGAGTTCGAAATAAGCTAGCTTGGTTGCCAGGCCAGCAAAGCTACTCCTGCTGCTGCTGCTCCTGCTGCTGCTGCTGCTGCTGCTGCTTGCGGCTAGCCACTTGAGCGTTAGCGTGGCCATAAAATTACATTTTGCAATGGGGCCACGTGGCGTATGCGCAATCTCTGCTCACTTTTCATATGCAAAGTAAATGCAATAGTGAATGCAAATAGCAATTTTCATGCGGCTTCAATTCAATCAGCAGCACATTACAAACACGTGCCCATACCCGCCCCACCATCACCACCACCACTCCCCCGTCACGACAATCCCCCCTGGAGCACTTGGTGGTTTTTCAATTTGAAAACGCAATCCCCGCCTACCCCCTTCAGCTGCCAGCGCTCACTTACCTTCTTGCAGTAATCAAGCAAATCCATTTTATCACGCAAACATGTGGCGCCCGTTGTCTTCTTGCTGAGGTCCGTTACCCAGCGCCCCTCCTCGGATAGATATTGCGGCTGATAGATTTGTCCGGCTTCGCAGAGCACGGCGATCTGTGGCTCCCAGCGCGGCGAGGCGGCCTGTAAATAATATTTGCAATGCCATGGATTAGTTGATAATACATTTTCAATCAATGCAAAATGCAATATGTCTATATGTGTGTGTGTGTGTGAGTGTGTGCAATCAAATCATGGCATATTGCTCAAATATTCATATGTGACTGGACACGGAATAGGCACGACTGCAGCTAAGCTGAGCTGAGCGGAGCGGAGCTGGGCTGGAATGGGTTAAGTGCCTATCAATGGGCAAAGACGCATTCATGTCACGTTCCTTTCCACTCGACATGGGCCACGCGCAGCCGGGCAGCTTGCACGGAGCCAGCTGTTGGCCCTGTGTGCGTTGAATTAATTGCTGGGCGAACAACTAAAATCGAGTGCTTAAACAGAAACAAAAGATGAGCCGGAAAGGTGCAACTAAACAGTGGGGCAAATGCAGCGACCAAAGTCTCCCAGTTGGCATTGAGTAACAGATTCATGCCCTGGCAGTCGCAAGACATCAGCACCGATATCAGTGCAGCAATCAGTCAGAGCCAAAACTGTCAGAAAAATATAATAGCAGCTTGGCAGCTATGGCAGCTTGCCTTTCTGTATACGGTGCGTATACCTAATGGGTGGACATAGACATTAATCATACGCCACATTGTGCAAGTGAAGCTTGACGCGCTCAGCCGTGGGCGTGGCTGAGCGATAAAAAATAATGATGCCACACACAAGGAGAGATAGATAGAGAGTGAGTGAGAGAGAAAGAGAGAATGAATACGAGTCGGATATAGCAGCAGCAGACGGCACATGTGGCAATCAAGTGAGACAACTGAACTCATTAGGCGGGTCTGGGCGGGCAGACGGACGGCATGCATGTTAACGGCAGCTAAAACCTCAACGATGTCTTAAATGGTTCATTACAGTTGCCATTGCCAGGCAGCAGGCAGCAGGAGGTAGCAGGCAGCAGGCATCACACAACCAACAGTTGGCAGTTGGCAGTTTGATGAATGGCCCGAGCTGAATTATGCATAGCAAAGCAGGCTCAATGGCTGGATTGATTGAATGATTTTTGGGGTCTGTGATGCGGATCGGCTTTCGGTTGGCCAACAGCTGATTTCGGCTCAAGTGTCGCGCTCGTCAACAGCTCTCAGCTTCACTCACGGCTCACTCTCAGCCCTCAATTAGTTGGCTCTGCTTCAGGTCTATTGATGATTTTTTTCGTGCCGAATTTGATCGCAATTCGTTTCTGGGCCGCAGCTATGGTAACAGGCGAATTAATGCACTGTCCGGCTTTGACTCTTTCAACGTATTGTTGTTGCTACTACTCCTGCTCCTGCTGCTGCTGCTGCTGAAAAATTTCCATTAGTTGGCTGGCATTGTTCGGCCTCAGCGCTGATAAGCTGCAGCTTCATGTTTCAACAAACTGAATCTTGAATGAATGCAACGCATTCGCATCTGGCTGTCATTCAAATACAGCATTCAGCATTCAGCATTCAGCATTCAGTATTCAGCATGTGCCACTGATTCACTCGCTTAGTGTCTGACAAAAAACAACAACAACAACAAAAACTCGTCAGCGAAATGCTTTCAATAAAGCGCATATGTAGAACCCGCGCTGCCATGCACACAAAGCATTGTTTGTCCAAATAAAGCTCACTGTCAATTTCCCCATTGGAACCCTCCACACACACACATATCGTATACGTATGCGATATTTATGTGTATTTGCATGGTAGTCGAGCTTCAATAGGGCATGGATTAAAGTCAATCTTGATACAAAATAACTGCGCACCAAATGAGAGCATCAAAGCTTAAATACTTTCAGCTCTTTCACCTGAAGCACTTTAGTATTTTTGATTTTTTATATTTTATTTTTTATTTTTTATTGTGCAACTTTTTGCTAAAAACTTTTCCTGATTGAAAAAGTTACATTCGGCAGGTAGCGGCAGCTGTTGATGCGCATAACGATAGTATTGAATGCACGATTAACGATAGTATTTCTCTTTTTGCAAATATAGAATAGGAATTAGAGCGAGTGGCACTCTGGCTAACTATCGATAGCCAAGAAGAGGAAGAGGCAAATCGAAGAGATGAGCATAGGAGTCGTTTAGGGAATTAAGATACAATTGAAATGATTATTATTATTATTTATTATTTATTATTTATTATTTATTATTTATTATTTATTATTTATTATTTATTATTTATTATTTATTATTTATTATTTATTATTTATTATTTATTATTTATTATTTATTATTTATTATTTATTATTTATTATTTTTTTATTTATTATTTATTATTTATTATTTATTATTTATTATTTATTATTTATTATTTATTATTTATTATTTATTATTTATTATTTATTATTTATTTTTTATTATTTATTATTTATTATTTATTATTTATTATTTATTATTTATTATTTATTATTTATTATTTATTATTTATTATTTATTATTTATTATTTATTATTTATTATTTATTATTTATTATTTATTATTTATTATTTATTATTTATTATTTATTATTTATTATTTATTATTTATTATTTATTATTTATTATTTATTATTTGTTATTTATTATTAATTATTATTATTATTATTATATATATACATATTATATAGATAATCATGAAGAATTAAGATATTATTGAAATAAAGTCTACGGCGAGTCTTGATAATTTGTACCACACTTAATCGAAAATCGCGATAAATCGAACAAAGCTCGATCCCTTTCAAAAAAATCCTTCTCGATAATTTGAATTTCCGTGTAAATCGAAAAAAAAAAAACTGATTCCATTGCCATTTCGCATTATCCGAACACAACATTACTATATATAAGCATATAGACAATTATTGCTGGATATATGAGTTCCAGTAGTGCGGTTGTATAGGGTTTCTTCAGTGTGGAATGCTTATCTACCTAACCAATTAAGTTTTTCTCATTTTCTCAGCACAACTCAAAGAATTCAAAGCAAATAAATGAAAACTTTCTTTATGACATTCAACCTTTAATGCAGCTTTCAGTTACAGCTAAATAAAAATCCAAAGTTAGCCGTAATTTTTTTGATTTGCCTTCCAAAAGTACAATAACTTTTGTTATATATTCCTGTATTCATTATTTTCACAAAGAAGCTTAATTCTGTGGCATAAATACAAATTAAGCTAACTCTTCTTGCCAAATCGACTGAGATACAAATGGGTTGCTGTTGTGAAATGTTTAGCAATCTTTTATAAATTTCAACAAAATATATGCAAAAATAATCTATATGTCCTAATTATGTTTAATTTCAGAAAAAATAAAACCTAGTCTAGCTCTAATAGTTCACAAAAATTTAATACTAATGGAGCACATGGATACCGATGTGGCTTTTCATTTTCATAGATATTATGAGAATTTAGATAGGAATTCCTCTCGTATTTATACACATACATACATACATATATATTGTACATACATGTACATACATACATACATACATATATTCTCAGCTACATTCCCTTCTATATGATTTTAAAGCGTCTCAGCTCAGCTTCTGTTTCCGTCTGGCTGCGCAGCTTAAGCTGGCGTCTGTCCTGGCTGCATGTCGACTAGGAAGAGTTTTATTCCCAGCCTTCTGCCCGGCTTGATAATCCGCAATATTCGAGCGTATTTTGTGTTGTTTTGCCGTTATCATAAGAGCACGAAAATTGAGTTGGCCAACGGTTCGTTGAGCTCGACGCTGTGGCAGCTCGCTGGGCTGGTGTCTATGCAAACTCCATTATCAAAATGCATTTGCATTAAGTTAAATAAAAGTGGCTGTTCGGCCTCTGCTGCTGCTCCTCACTCCTGCTCCCCTGCTCCCCTGCTCCCCTGCTCCCCTGCTCCCCTGCTCTCCCGCCCTTCACTAATAAATATAATAATAGCCTGCGCCTCTGGCATATGTGAGCGGCGCGTGTAACTGGAGCTTGCTCAGCTACTTGGCTCATGCGGCTATCCATCCACACACAGCAATTGCCATCGCTCATGTGTTGTTCGTCCCTGTCCCTCTCTCTCTCCTTCTTTTTCTCTCTCTCTCTCTCTCTCTCTCTCTCTCTCTCTGGCTTTCTCTGTGTGTGCTCAACTATTTCAAAAGTAATTAAGTTGGCAAAAAGGCGGAAACATGCTCGTTCTTCAGCTCAACGTCGCCTTGCCAGTGACGTGCCAGCATTTTTCCAGGCAATCTAATAATTCACAAAACAACACACTTACACACACACACACACACATATATATATATATATACAGATTTAACATTTTGCCTGCTGTTTGTATGTGAAAAATTTGTTGGCCCAAGCTTTTGGCTTGGCTTTATGTTTGTCTTTTCGACGTCATTGTTGCAATCAGCTTTGTTATTGTTGTTGCCATTGCTGCTGCTGCTGCTGCTGCTGCTGTCAACGATGACACCATAGTCTATGCCAAGCAACATGAACTGCAATTTCAGCTGCCGTTGGCTACAGAGTGAGGGGCATATTAAATAACGCCGTTGTCCGTGTTCGGACGCAATCTAGCAGAATTGAGGCAAACACTGACGCAATCAGGACAAACCTGGTCAACATATAATATGCATGCTGGAGCATACCCTGTAATCTGGCCAACATGAGCCATGAGCCATGCAGGCAGCCCAAAGAGCTGCTCGTCAAAGTTCGCATAGTTCGCGTTCCGCTTGCCATGGGCTGTTTATGAGTTTTGAGTCTTGAGCAGCGGCAATCAGCAGATGCTAATCAAAAATGATGATGTACTCGAAGTCGAGGCGAATGCTGCCAATCATCGGAAATGAGTCGGCAACAATTTGCTGCTGGCTGTTGGCAGTGCAGAGCCAAACGGTTGACGGACTCATTGCCAGGCGGCAATCCAAATCGAAATTAAACACAGGACAGAGAAAGAGAGAGAGAGAGAGAGAGAGAGAGGGGAGGGGGAGAGAGGGAGGGAGAGCGCATGCAATGCAGCGGAAACGGAAGCGGATGTTGCAACGGGGTGGCCCAGGCGCCAGAGTCAGAGCCAAAGGCAACGG